TCATCCTGTCCACCACTGTCAGAGACTATGTACACTGTTGTATATTATATATACTAAGATAATATATACATTGCTCTCAATATGTGTGTCTATTCTATGCTGTTAGTAGGACTAGCTGGAAGATAACCCATCCCTGTCTCTTTTACGAGTATACACTGAATCGGGAAGTAGATAAGAATAAAGGTGATTATAGAAAGGAAACTTTGAGGGGCAGTTCAGTCAGATTTATTTCATTTTTCTTCACAACATTCATGAAATTGGCACTCTGTAATTGTAATGGTAACGTACGGTCACATTTCTAAGCAAACAAAAAAAGGACTCTGCATTGTTTCTCTTGTATGATCCAGATGGGAATGAGAGAGAGTAGCTTGGGTGCTTGTTTTAGGGGTTTTTTAATGTAACTGGCTGCAGCCCAGTTGGTCTGTGACGTTGCTGCTAATGTAGAGAAATGTTTGTTCAGATTGTTTTCTTTTTTTAATTTGTCCCAGGTTAAATTTTTATGTCGGCCTGTAGAAGAGCTGAAGAAAAACATCGTCCACCACACGTGCCTGCATGCATGCAGGTGTGTACGTATAAGCACACAGAGTCCCAAAATTAGAACCTAGCAAGTGCCAAAGTTTGGGGGTGAAAGACAAATATCGCTGATTAATGTTGTCAGAAAGCAGCGGTGAGGTTTCTTCATTTTGTTAGAGCTCCGTTGGACTTTACACAAAACCTGCTCCACTGTATCAGAGAGCAACAATGTTTGATTTGGTACATGGCACAGCACTGAATGAGGTCAGGGGGACTGTGAAAACAAAAACATAATCACAGTTCGGGTGTTCATCTCTCACTTCACCAGCCCCGAGGGTTTCTGAAAACATCTGACATTGTTTATGCAATAAATTTGTGTCATCTGAGCGATTGTAAAACCTGAGTCAGTCGGAGTTGCCCTGCTGTAGGACGACAGTGTTCTATTGTTTTCATTGTGATTGTCTTATTATCATAAACTTGAGCCTTGTTTTCATTCCAAGCAGGCCCTGTTTCAGTGGTTTGTGTCTCAGTGTTCCGCTTCATTGCCATTGAAGACGTGTGAATGAGTCGAGCTAAAACAAACAGCATCCTAACGCTTCCAACAGTGCAGCTTGAGGTCAGCCTCTGACTTTTCTGATTCCCACACTCTGGGCTTCCTCTTTAAACAAACAGCTAAAGCTTCTCAAGTCAAAGACAACACTGACAGAATCATTGGGTTAATCTTCCCATTGGATCTTGGACCAGAGTTGAAAAATGCACTAAATATTTTGGTGAGCTAAATATTGTGTACACGTTAAACACATTTTTAAATGCCTCTGTGTTAGATCCTCGTGACCTGCAGGGTTCAGCAGTACTGACTAAGATGAAGTCAGTGGAGACAACACTGACCTGAAGCGTGGCAGACAGTGCTGAACGATGGGAATTCAGCAGACACGACAGATTCTTTCACAAAAGGCTCTCAGAAGACCTGAGTCCTTGTTTCAAAAAGCATGAATCCTGCTATCAGTGTGATATGCACCACTGCACCGCTAACTGAGGCACATTATGCTATATTAGAGCTATAAGACTTAATAAATAGTAGTTCATACTTATTGTGGGTTGTGTATGTATGCGTCAGTGCTTTGCTAATGTGCGACCTGAAGCCTGGTGCCATACATTCACAAGAGAAGCATTAACATCCTGCCAAAATGTTGCTTATGGAGTCCTGAAGTACTGATGCAGAAGCAGATGATGGGAAATGGGCTGCTTTTCTCATTAAGCTTCATTCATTTTTAATATAGAGTGCGTATAAAATGGCTCTGCGTGGTCACAGCACTATTAAGAGGTTTCTGCATATGGTTTAATAATTGGTTATTAAAATGGTTTTGAGCTATAACACATGGGTGAGATCATCATCCTCTGCACTGGTTGTGTTTGTGTTACTTAGCCGATTGATGCTCTTTGGGCAACAGGAGGACCCACTCAGAGCCGATGTTTCCCCTGAAATGTTTCACCCGACTGTAAGAGTAACACAACTGAAAGCATGCGGCAGCAGTCAACCAACATTAGGCTTTCCTGAGAGAGAGAAACGTGAGGTGGTAGAAGTCGTGCTCAATATTTTAGATCAGCTTTAAAATTAGATTACAGTTAAAAAAGACTGTGTGTTGTGTGGTTAAGTTGGATGGTTCTGTGTCGTCCTTGCAGATGTATGAGCACGAAATGTGTGGTCAGTAAAGCATGTATGTTAGTGTGCTGTTTGCTTTCCAGGGTGTCAAACATAAGACCCGTGGGCCAGAATCAGCCCAGCAAGGACATCTTGAAGTAGGACAAAGTTTTGGGCTTTTAACTGTAATTTTCCAGCTTGTCCTACTGATACAGACCTCTCGTGCACACATTCATGGTACAGTAATGATTAAATGAAAGTTCCTGTTTTTATTGTTTGTTTGATCGTATAATGTGTCCAGAGTAAACTACAGCATCTTTATCGTGTAGAAAAACTGAGACTTACTGCTGGTGTTGCACAGTTTTTCTTCGTATACCGACAAATCTCAGAGATTAAATGTCCAGTTAAATGTTTCTATGCCAACAGAAAGGGGAATTTCATGCCTCATTTCAGTAAACTGCTGCATCTATTTCCCATTTTTGTAGCACAGTAGTTTGGTGCATATTGCACCCTGTAGGTCCATGGAGATGAGGACCTATTAGATAGGACTGAAGGACCAACACAGGCTGCATACAAGAAGGCTCGACTTCCTATAGACGCTCAGATCCTTCAACACATGCAGCAAATGTTCCATCAGATACTTTACTGTGGTCTGCCAAGGAAGCAGCTTTAAGCTTGTGATGCTAACAGACTGAAGGAGCTGATTACGAAGGTTTAATCTGTGACGGGCTACAAACTGGACACCTGATGCTGTGGCGGGGAGGAGGTCACAGGTCAAAGTTATCCAGCATGAATAATCCCGATCGCCCTCTGCACAGGAAATGTTTTATTCCACATGCTGTCACTCTCTTTGATACAGTAATTGTTAACCCATTCTTCTACAATACAGTCATTTGGCTTTTCAGTTTCCAAATCCTTACAGACGATTTAAAAGTCTGTCAATCAAATGTTTTTCAGTTGTTTTTTGTTTTTGTGGTTTGCTTGACAAATACTCGTCACTTAGAGAACTTACATCACATTTCTTCCTCCTGATGCTCCGTTTGCACTTTCGCAGATTGTCCTACCCATGTCTTCCTGTCCAAATGTATTGAGTTGCTGCCATGCAATTGGCCGACTAGATAATTGCGTTAATGAGCAGTTGACCAGCGGCCAGGGAGTTTATAGTTTACTGATTCATTTGATTAGAAAGCCTTTTCACTTCCAGTGTGGTTCAACACCGAGCCCTCCACCAGTCAACAAAAGCATATTTTACCGTATGCACCATTTAGTCTTGCGTGTCATTTAGTCACACACGAGCTTTTTTCTGTCATTTTACACATTTATTTCTTAAGAATTCTTCCCAGAGAGTCATGCTGACAGTTTCCTTTACTGCAGCAGCATTTCTTCACCATGTACTCAAAATTGCATTTCTCTTTCAGTATCGCAGGATTAAATGTGTAGTGTAGTAAATTCCATATGACTTCCTTACTTTATGTCTTTCCTGGTGTGTAGATTCAAATATGAAAAGTGTCAAATGGGAAATCAACATAGGAGCCTCTTTAAACTCAGTAAAGAAGCAGGCCGGACCTTAGCTTTCTCTTTTTGTTTCATTGTGAATATGCTAGACTGCGAGCTTCCTGTGTTTGGTTGGGCATGTGTGCGCCTCGACAGCAGGTCACCTTGCAGACTGTTAACTTGGCGGGCAAAACCGCACTTTTCTTGTCATCTAAAGGGCAAATGGAACTGAATGGAGGTTTGTTCCCACAGTCTCGTTCCTTTGTATATGTGTTGTTCTCTTTGTTTTTCCCACATGGATTGTATGGACAGCATCAATAGACGGTGGTAAGAGAACACACTGACTCACTGTGTTTAACAGGATATAACGTTACAAAAATATAACTGATGTCTAATTCCCACTTATTCTGAGCTTAAGTATGAAAATGTCTCCCTCTGCTGAATGTGAGGCAGTGCTTCATGTGAACCTTTTCCATCTTATTTCCTGTTACATTCCTTTCAAGTTAAATTTTGTTTTTAGTCATGGTTTAAAAAACAAACCAAAACAAAGAATAAGTATAGCTTCATATAAAACGCACACCAAAACATGAAATGGTAATAAATGTGTTAAATTAGCTGTTTATTCCAATAAGTGCTGTCTTTGTGCCACGTAAGGTGTTTATTACAATTTCTTGGTTCAAAAATGTATGAAATCTCTTTTGTCAGGCGGTGTGACCGTTTTTAAAAAAATAAGACACCTTAATTAATCCCACACTTAAGAAATTTACGTCTTACAGCAGCTCACAAGTCAGACGGAAAAATCCATCCATCCATTCGCTTCCGCTTATCCTTTTCAGGGACGCTGGAGCCTCAGACGGAAAAATCGAATCAAAGATATACTAAAAGACGGGAAAATCAAGCATTATTAGTCCAAAAGTGTTTTATACTATGTACAAATGTGCGATATATACAGTGAGTTTACATGTAATATTGAATTAATCCTGTGTACCAACAATACAGAAATAGGAAACGATAGAAATAGATAATTCATTGCATGGCATTCAGAAGCCTTAAGGATTCAGGAAATAAACAGCGTGCAGACAATGCTGTTTATTATTCCCACGCAACACGAGTTTGTCTATTTATTTGAAACGTAATAAAATAACAGTAACTTCCATACAAATGCAACAAACATAACATAAACATTTTATTTATTCCTTTGTTCTTGTAAAAAGTGGTTTTCTGTATAAAATATACAAACAAATCCGCTTTGCGTGTTGTGTCGCGTATTTACGGCTGCTCGTTTTTGACGTCCCGCTGTAGCGCCTGTTACGGTAACAGGTGACGTCACTCCGATGGTGTTACGCCCATTGAGAAAAAAAAGAAGGAAAAAAGGAAAAAAGAGCGAGAGAGAGTGAAAGAGTTTACTCTGCTGGACTCCGGGAGGCTGAAGCTCATCCTCACCACGCTCTACAGCGGGGAACAAACCCGCAGCACGACATCAAACTGTTCAGAGCCGAAACTTTTCCAGCTTCAGAAGAAACGTCAGTGCTGAAGTTGGAGGTAACAAGGTGAGACTCGAACACACGCAGCGCTGCTCTGTGAGCGCGCGGCTAATTTCTGCAGCAGCTAGCTAATAGTTTTTGCCCCAAGGAAGCTGTGAACTTTACACCTGCTCGACAAACACTGTGGTTTATATAAATGAGCTCAGCGGACGAAATGTGTGGTTTTTATTTAAGCTCGTTTGTATTTGTAAGTTACTGGAGGCGCCAAAGTTCACTGACTTCCAGTCTTTGCTTTCCATCAAGGATTTTCCTGGCGCGAGCTGGCGTTCATTTCCTTTGGGGGGGGGGGGGGGTTGGGGCTCAAAAGCATGCAAGGGAATATACACACACACACACACACACACACACGTGTGTGTGTGTGTTTATGAAGCCTTGACTTTCATAAACACACACACACACACTGTGTGTTTATGAAAGTCAGAGGCTTTCATTCAGAAACTTGAAAAGGCTTTTTCTCAACCCCCGCCACCCCCCCTTCAGAGCTAATGAAGTCCTGGAAGACGAGCATCTGTGGGCGCTTAAGAGCCGCATGATATTGCCAGTATCTATCAGCAGCTCATTATTGGACAAGTGCGTGTTTGTTTCTCTCCGTGTGGGTGTGGGTGCATTAGCCACAGAGGACAGCAAAGGTGGAGGATCATCCTGTGTTTTTGAGCCCTGATTCCTGCCTGTTTCTGGTTGAAGCAAGAAAAATATCATTAGATGTGTTGGTCAAGAGATATCGTTGAGTTTTATTGTTTGGTTGTGTGTGAAGAAGAAAAATCCTCGATTTCTAAGGAAAGGTATTGACTGGCTATCGTCACAGTTTCACTGAGGATGTGGTTTTCAGTTAAAGGCTGAGGTCTCTCCAGAGCTGCACACAAATTACAGAGCGAGTTGCAGGTCTGGGTTTTATCCAGCACCTGTATGTCTGTGTGTATTTTTAAACTGTATAAGACCCTCAAACTTCCCCAACGTGAAAATAAATTTCAGATGTATTTCGATCTCTGCCAGTCTACTTCATCGTTAAGTGCTTTATTGTGGTTTTTCTGTTTTATTGAACGACTTCTCAAATGTCATGGTGTTACTTTAGATGGCCGCTGAAGTGGAGTTATTATAAACACTGCATTCGATGTCAGCTTGACTGACGTGATGATTTAGCACGTTGTGTCAAAATATGAACGCCATCCTCCACCAATAAAACTGCACAGTAGAATGCAGTGAAGCCAGTGGACACCCCCTGCTGTTGGGTCTGTTTGGATCTAATGCTGAGCTCTAACAATTCTGGATTCACTCATTTTTTATTGAGTTCTTATTTATTGAATTATCAGCCATGTCTTTCATAAGGTTGAGGGCAACTTACTGTGAAGAAACCACCCCAATAGATTTTGGAGCTGCTTCTCAGACTCAAACTCTTTGACTGCAGCTGGAGATGGGTGTGGTATTTGAACCAGCTCTCCACCTGCTGTAGGTTCTGGTCAGAGCCTCCACCGTGTTTTACACATGGCGGTAGATACTCACTCATTTGAATGTCGGCAACACAAGCGTAGAAGCTCCTCATAGACGATAACGGTGCCATCAGGCCACTTTAACTCTCACCAGTGGATTATTTTTTGTTTTTTTATGACTGTTCCTTTTACAGCTGTGAAGCCAGAAGGAGCTTGTTTGAATGCAACATGATCGGGTGTAATAATCTCCCGTGAGACAATGAGAAAGACGTGTAATAGCATAAAGAGGACACAGCAAAGAGAGGAGGGACAAAAACAGATGGAAATCCAAACTGTCTGCATCTCATTTCAAGTCTTAATTTTCATCTGTATCGAGTGTAACGCTCGTGTGTTTCTGTAGCAAAGTGCAGTAAACATGACGGTGCGTAACTGAAGGTGGAGAGGGAAGCCGGCGCGCTACAACTAGAAGATAAAAGAGAGCTGCTAATGTTTTGTGGCCTCTTTCCTGTAAAGGTGTGTGTGTGTGTGTGTGTGTGTGTGTGTGTGTGTGTGTGTGTGTGTGTGTGTGTGTGTACGTGTACGAGTGAAATGCATGTGACTGCATTTTGCGCAGTTGTGTTTCCTGTTGTTTACCTCGGGAGCAAATTCCACGCTGGGTAGGGAATTGTGACTGGAATGGCTCCTGCGATCTATGCCTGGCACGTCGCCGCTCACACTTTGGAAAGTAGGAAGCACTTTGTTAAACTGGTAAATTAAGATTTGCATGCAAACGTATCATGGCTGGAACTGTTTGCAGTCGGGGGACACAGCGATACTGCTGGCTTCCTTTTCTGCGACTCTTTCTGGGTTAGCACAAGCCATCTTAGCAGTCATGGCTGAATATCCATGGTGTTTGCATGCACGTTAGAGTCAAGGCCAGAAGGAGAATGTAAAGTTTGTCATCAATCAGATTTTGTTTTTCCAAACTTTTCAGCCAGACAGCTTGTCAGTGATATTTAGTTTGGACTAATGCCTGAGGAGGTGTTTCCTGTCTTTGTCCCAGCATTCGGGCTGGTTATGCAGTGAGAACAGTCTGTGGCAGAGGTCACACAGACTTTTATTTTGGTGTTGGTTGGACTTCTTTTCAGTAATGACTTTTCCTTTGCAACTGTGCTCTACCTGGATATGTGTGATTTTCCATAATCATTAGCTGCTTCTCATCTGTTTTATTTTTGTAAGAAATTGGCTGTTAACTACATAGTGTCACAGTAGTGTAAAAGCTGTGTATGCTGTGGTGATTGTGTCACACTGAGTTCGTTATTTATATATATGCAAAGTATCTGAAAATCTCACGCCTGTGTGTGCTGATATTACTGAATCATTTAGCTGATAAGGACGGACAGCTGATAGCACGTATCAATAACCATCATATTAACTGTTTAACTGACTGACCTGTAATCATGTCAGCGTGCTGGATACTTTTTCACACTTCAAGTTTCGTCATTTGGAGCTGACGCATAAATCATACTTTCACATACTCGCTTGTACGAATGAGTGCTGCCAGCTTGCCATCACCTGTCATGCGATGCCTGTTAAATCCTGTCGCTAGCACCGATTGGAAGACTTGCAGACTGTGTCACCTGGAGCTGTTAGATCAGTGGTAGTCAAAGTGATGGCAGTAGCTAGCCAGTCAGTGACATTTTTACCTAATTTCCCCAATAATGTCTTCAAATGATGTCATCATTATTGAGATGACATTGTTTCTGCCTCATTCTATTTTCATATAGACACCTGCAGCAAACATGCATCTGAGTGCATGCAAATAGATTCATGCGTGGACTGCTTTGTGTGTCTGTGTGTGTTTGGAGTGGGAATACTGATCTGTCATCACATGACAGAAAGCAAGAGGATCGTGTTGACTTCTGACTGCTGGTTTGATTTACATATTAGAGTGTAATGTGACTGCATTTGCAGAGATGCTTGTCTGCCTCATCTCTCTGAATTTATGTATTCATTGTGGCACATTTCTCTCACCTATATGCTACTGTGGTTTTTGTGTTTTGGTCTCACACTGGGTTTAATGGAGGGTGTAGAGCAGTGCTCTGATGGATCCTCGTCTGGCCTACGACGAGGTAGGTTTAGTCTGCAGTGCGCGACTAAATGAAATGCACATTTTCAAAACAAACAGACGACTGATGACAACGGACAACAACACAGACAAGAACAGCGTCAGTCGTAAGCGATGATACCGAGGAGTATTCTACCCACAAGTTCAACACAGAAAAGCTTACCTTGCATTAGCTGGCTCAACAAATTCTAAAACCCCAGCTAGGTAACAAGTATCATGATGCTAGCGATCAACTTTCCCTGTTAAGCCGGCCTTTCTGCTTCAGGTTGCGAGCGTGCTCTCATAAAAATTTGCATTTTGCAAACGTTAAAACGTTTTGGGACAACCCCCAAAATGTCATTCTTCTTAGACCCGAAATGGTCCCTGTGCGGCGCCTACTCTAGTCAGACGTTATCAGATGATAACGTGTTGCTGTTTATTTCTAGGATTGCTGCTGCACATTAGGGCTCTGAAACTTTAAGCTGGATATATTTAGACATTACGTGTTATTGTCCCATAGCCTAATAACAGAGGCATGGAAATCACTGTAGTTTGTTGCAGATCAAATTGTAATATTGATTGAGCAGGTAATCTTGGTGTGTGTCCTCTGTTGTGGTAGCTGCAGTTCCAGCAGTGTGAAAGAGACTCGAATCAAGTACCACATTTATACGTTAATGTGACAATGCAATGCTTCATTCAGTGGTTTAAGTGAGATACGACTCAACAACTTAAATTTTATTCCCCTGGAAGAGAATCTATCAAATTTAAAACATACAGTAAAGACCAGAAGAGTTAAAAACAAACCAAATCGATGAACAGATTTTATTGTCAGTATAAGTTACCATGGTGATTTAGCCAGGTAAAAACCGAGCCTCTCTCGTGACGCAGAAAACTCTGACTTGAAGCGAGACCTGGTTTGCTAATCCAGTAATCTGGTTTCGTAGTACAGTCCTCTGGACTATGGTTCAGATCACCGCCAAAGCCACTTTCTTTTATATACAGTTGAACAAAATGCCGTGAGTGACTGGAACAAGTGCAGTAACCTGTACAGTGGGCAAAAAGTATTTAGTCAGCCACGATTGTGCAAGTCCCCATTAAAATGATGAAGAGTCAGTAATTGCACCAAGTAACTTCAACTGTGAAGACAGAATGTGAAAAAAAAATCCATGAATCACATGGTAGATTGTAAAGAATTTATCGTAAATTAGGGTGAAAATAAGTATTTGGTCAATAACAAAATACAACTCAATACTTGTAACATAACCTTGTTGGCAATAACAGAGGTCAACGTTTACTATAGGTCTTTACCAGTTTGCACACACAGTAGCTGGTATTTTGGCCCATTCCCATGCAGATCTCTCGAGAGCATGATGTTTGGGCTGTCGCCGAGCAACACGGACTTTCAACTCCTTTTTTCTATGGGTTGAGGTCTGGAGACTGGCTAGGCCACTCCAGGACTTTCAAATGCTTCTTACGGAGCCACTCCTTTGTTG